AGGAAGAAGCACTGGCAGTGTATACGTCACACATTAAGGAATGCACTCAACTGCGTCACAAGGCAAGCACCCACTTGGAATCCTCAAGGCCAAAGGAGGAGAAGATCAAAGAACAGATAAAGACAGCCAGTGTAGCAGCAGTCTCTGCATCACTACGCCTCTACATACACAAGGCGAAAACCAAGATTCTCAAATACAACACGGAGAACACCAAACAAACCAACCACACTTGAGGGCGAAACTCTGGAAGATGTAGAATCCTTCACATACCTGGGAAATTTCATCCATGAACATAGAGAATCAGATGCAGAAGTAAAGGTGAGGATTGGGAAAGCAAGGATCGCATTCCTACAATTGAACAATATATGGAACTCAAAACAACTGTCTGTCAACCAACATCAGAGTGAGAATCTTCAATACGAACGTCGAGGCAGTTCTATTGTACGGAGCTGAAACTTCGAGAACTACAACAACCACCATCAACAGGGTACAAGTATTTATAAATGGTTGTCAACTCAAGATACTCAACATCCATTGGCCGGATGTCATCAGAAACAGCCTTCTCTGGGAGAGAACGGACCGGCTTCTAGGTGAAGAGGAAATTAGGAAAAGACGATGGAAATGGATAGGACATACATTACGCAAATCGTCAAACTGCATCACGAGGCAAGCCCTAACTTGGAATCCTGAAGGGAAGCGGAAAAGCGGAAGGTCAAAGAACACATTACGTCGGGAAATAGAATGAGATATGAAAAGGATGAATAACAACTGGAAGGAGCTAGAAAGGATTGCCCAGGACAGGGTTGGATGGGGCGTGCTCGTGAGCGGCCTATGCTTCTTGACGAGGAGTAACAGGGGTAAGTAAGTAAGTAATATTAAATATCATTGTTATATTATTCATTCTAATAATCACAAAAAGTGACTATTGCACTCAGTCAGTGTTGATGTTTTATGGTTTGACAGTCAGCACAAATAAAATTCACTAAACCCGTTTTTTTCACTTGTTCATTGACAGCCCATCGAATGGTATGCTACAAGTTAACAGTTAAAATATCGTTTTCTATCCTGTTTCCAACATATTGCACTGTACTGTACACTGTATACTAGATTTGTATAACCTTGATAATGTATTTTCAAAGTGATAAATTGTCAGTATAGGCATCATTCAAATACTGACAAGAATATCACACATACATTTTGTTATATGTCGTCGTCCATTTGTTATGACTGGTCATCGGTGATTGTTATGTTGCAATTGCCTATTACTTATTTCTGTAAATGAGAAACCACTGCAAGGTGCACGTTATTTCTCAAAATCTATGAGAATATTTATTTACTTAGTTCTATTAAATACGATGATATAAATGAGGGTACTTGTTCATCATATGGAGAAATGGTTCTGAAACTATATGATGAAAGCTCTCATTTTTAAAAAAAAAGACTACTCAAAATTTTACATGACTGGATTTAATTAAACTTGAACTTGTAATACGTGTTCGTGAATATATATACAATACATCTAATTAACCTTAAGTGTTACTGAAATAGTTATAAAAATGTATGTGAGTATCTTAGTTCCTAACCATTCCTTTATAGTTGGATGAATTATAGAAATAAGTCACGTATGAAAATCTCTTGTCACGTACTGAATTCAGCCGTTAAAGTGTAAGGTGAATTTGTTTTAAAACTAATAGAGTTAAGTATTCTGTTTCTTAGCATTATCCATCTATAACACACTAACTCATATCTATGACAAAATCTGATAATGCACAATGAATAATTATAGTCTGAGGATATTTTCCAACTTTTTTGGTTATTTGTTTATGATGTAGTTTCAAAAAAAGCGTATTACGTCTATCCGAGCTCGATTACCGCTATTGATATAATTTTTAAATGAACACATTAATTTCACAATTGGTATTTTATTTATGATCTGATGTACTGTCACGTATGAATAACTTCGTCTAATAATTTTTTTAGACTCATGAAATACTCCAAATTTCTAATGTTTGTGGAATGTAGCAGCGTAAATCCAACGTAACAGTTAGTTATGCATGAGTTACAATAATAAATTAGCACTTTCAAAAAAATCTCTATACACCGAGCTAATAGTAATGAAAAGTGTAAGACTTCACAGTATTTTGTTGTGAATTATTATTTCCAAACGTCATAGATATTTGGAGTATCTTTGATTAACTTTAATTATGTAAAAAATTTGTATATCAAGTTATGTGTAACGATAAGGTCCAAATTTAAGCATTGAAACTATATTAGGGTCATTATTAATGGATGAGTAAAATAATAATACAGAAGTGAAAAACTATAGGTTGGGATAATTCGTTAACAAAGAAGGATAGTGCTAGAAAAATTTCATTATCTTCAAACATTAAATTCTACACAAAGTATTCCAATTCTTCACTTCATAAATAGAATTCGATCAGTATCGGAGACCATACAATATGGTATGAGGCTTGATACGCATATCAAAACGTCCCCTATAAAGTTTAATAAAAAAGAGCACTCCTAATGTTACGAGAAATTAGTAGACTAACTAATTACTGAGTCAGAAAATAGCATCTAGAACTCTTATGTATTGACTAATCGTTAAAATCGTAAGTCAATGCTAGTTAATGTTCATCCAAATCACTCATTGCTGACATTTGATGTCGTACTATCAGATTGTTCTTTGCGAATATAATAATTAGCCAAGTACAAATGCGTAGCTATTTTTCTATTGTCTATTTTTACAAGATGCATTCATACTCTGTAAGTAAATCTGTAGTACTATTAGACTTGTTTATATTAGAGGAAGACATTCAGAAAAAAACAGTTAACATTTTTTAAACTTTGATCATGTTTTGTGTGATTGATACTTTCATTTAAAAATAACTGAAGCAGATGAACATTGATATGGTTTTCTTAAACAGCTAATGATTAGAAATTAATTATTTTGCTTTAGTATAATGAAATGTTGATTTGATCCCAGAGGAAATACTTTACTTATTTAAACATTATACAATTAAGCATAAATTAAAAAACAAAGTTGTATGATGTTTTCAGACAAATTTTTCTGAGGAATCAAAATAATTGAGCATATACTAGACAATCTATCTATATCCTTATTTGAACGTATGTAAAACAGTTAGATTTTCTCACAATTAAGATAATTTGACTACTATTATTCTATATATTTCTGTGGAGATTTTGAGACTTTGTATGCTTTATAGGTAGTTTTATCATACGAAGCGTGTCAGTTAGAGAAACATTACGAAACTAAGAGACGACAAACAAATCTGCAGTTCATAATGATGAATAAAGAATTGAATCCAAAACCTTCATGTTACATGGTGAACATATTAACCAATATCCTCAGTATACAGAAGTTTATTTTTAAACTCACTCACTCAGTAATGATACATAATTCTTTTGACTAGATATTTATCCCATTCTAAAGTTAGTTAACCTCTTGATTGACGATGATTCATTTGAACATCGAAAAATCCATCGCAAATCCAACTATTTGGACATGAACTGTCGACTGACAAATTAAGAATTAGTAAGATTGAATGGATGTATGCTTTATGACTTCAGGGATTTAATAGCTTTTGTGCTCATATTTTTTCTGTTTTACCAACTTTAGAAATAGTGACGAAAAATCCAAAGTTATTTCAAAGTCATTATATTACTATATTGTACATGTTAACGAACATGTATAATAATACAGTAGTTATGTTACTTAGTTTTTTCTAATAATGAAAACTAAAAGGTCTAATTGTTAAGTAATTCATATAACATATTGAGAAAGTGATGGGATATAAGTGCTAAATAAATCATCGTAAATACCTCACGTGTTTTGTATAATAAATATATGATAGATACAAATTTATCACCTAAATAAAGTCAATGTTATCTAAGGAAGATATGAGTTTAGTTCAATTGAAAATCAAAGATCAATATGTTCAGAAAATATACGTTGGAAGCAATGATAGGTAGTGGCTAGCAGTGGAATCCAGGACGCGCATTTCGTCCTATTCGGGACTCGTCAGCTGGATGTACCTGCATCTCAGAGTTGGTGTTCACTCTGAGACTGATCAATTGCAGTCTTAAACCTCATTGGGAAGATACAAGCCAAACAATACCAAGTGAATTAAATATACATTGGAATTATACAAATTATTAGCTTATTTTGTTTCAAGTACTTTAGTCCCGCACTAAAAAATGTGGATTACATGAGAGTCGTATAAATAGGTCCACATTATATGAGTGTAACGAGGTCAGTTGGATAGACATGGTTTCAGTCAGTCGTCTATTAGTAGTCAGTTTTATTTAAACTGAAAAATAGCTCTTGCTTCCTCAAAATTCAAGTGGCATTTAAATGATTGTATCACATTGAAATGCATATATTTACACATACATATAGAGGATTTATTAAGCCGTAATCAACTAAAAGACGTTATCGAGGATTTATCTTTGTATTTCATAGTAAATATAGTTGAAATGCATAACCGAATTCATGCATATCATTTTTTCTACTGTCGTCTGAAAGTACAATAACAAAAGGCCGAAATTTCTTTTGTATTTGAAGCTATATGAGATTGCAATAATCCTGACCTTCCATGAACTGATTTAGGTTTTTCATCAAATATAATATGATTCAAGGTTTTTCTTGATAATGCTCTTATTTCCCATAAGTACAGCTCGACATTTTAATTTCTTATATATATTTGAACAATTGATGCATGAGCAAATATCTTAAAGATTTGTTATCTCACTAAAGTTTTGAATATTATTTTGATTTTCAGAACTGAAGTGAGATATTTCAGGCAAATTACTGACTACATATAATATTTATATTACCATCCTATATGGATTGCTGTCCATAAAAGTTATATCTGTTAAATACCTCAAGTAATATGTTTTAATTCAGCATATTAGTTCATGAAAATGTTGGTATCTTAGCTACTCATAAACATTAAAACAATAAATGTAAAAGAACTCACCTCACTGTCTTCTGCACCTAACGTATGACATGGAAGATAAGCATTTTCACCAGTTTCATAAGTTAATAACATTTTAATTAATTTCTGTTTATGATTGAAAGGTTGAGATAAACTTATTTCAGAACTATGGTATAATTTATGTATATCTACATTGGGGAATTTTCTAATCATTTCATATAATGGATATGGATTTAATATACATGGGATTTCTTGTCTACCATCTGTATTCAAATAACAATCTCTATGTACTTCATATCCGCTTATTGTTTTCATCATGGATGTTTGATTTGGTAAATAATAAATAGATAAATTCTTAGAATGATGATAAACTTTCGAAAGATCCTTGTTATACGATTCAAATTCAGTATACTTAGCATGTGGTTGATTTATGATAATAGCAGCTGAATCATCGTTTAATAAGACATGTCGTGCTACCATTTTTGGTGTTGACGGTAAATGTCCAGATTTCATAAACCTTTGTTGTTCTGTATTTTTATATTGTTTGTTAACTTGATAACTACTTGGTTGTTGTTGGTATTGATATTGACTGTAATTTTGTAATTTATAAGTGGAATTCTGCCGATGACGACTTCCATGTAACAATGGCAGATGAAATATCCAATAAGGTACAATTTCTATGGTTTTGTATAACATTATTTCTTTTTGTAAATCTTGTATAACAAAAAAATTTGAAAAGAAAATCATACAAGACCGTCATTTATAAAATGGATTTACAAAATATCATTTCACTGATATATACGGTGTTATACAATGTATTATCTATTTAATAATACACTGGCAACAATATTGAATTTTGACAAAACCAAATTTTAGTATAACTGTGTCATAACTCATTGTTTATCGGAAAATTGAAATATTTTTACAATTTCTAATTTTACTCTAGCAGTAGTGTGAAATCTAATACAATACCAATGACTTTCATTCTCTTTCACTTTATATGTCTTGTAATACATAAGTCTTGGGTTTTATTGAAAATCAGTTATTGACTGGCATTAATTTAACATTTATATTTGTAATTTACTAGTTGAGTTCATGAGTCAATTGAAGCTAGACCACCATTGAAAACCTGAAAGAACTGAACGGCCTTATCGTCCTAGTATGGGACCCCACAGTAATGCACACTCACGATCTTGCCAGGTGAGATTTGAACCCAGGACCTTTCGGTGTCGCACGCGAATGATTAACCTCTCTGAATATATATTTATCTAGATATATAATGATTTTATAAGTGTTTCATCCCTTAATATTTTTTATTTAGATTTTAATGCTCTACACTAAATATATGTTTAAATTTTGACTGTAAATTCCACTTATTTGTAATGTTTAAAATTCAGGTATTATATTTGTCGAAAAACGTTATAATTACAAGCTGTTTACATGATTGTTTAGTCAGAGTATTTGGTGAGAATAACTTTATTAGGTTCATCATATTTTACACAACTATGTAGCACAATTACGTCAGATCAAAATTCATTCAGATGTGATTTAAGCGTTTTAAGAGATATTTTCTCCGAATTAGATCTATTTTTTCCCGGGAGCGTAAACTCGATTCCTCTTTCGTTCCATATTGTTATTGTCTAGCGGAATGCAATAAATAGGTAAAATGAAATGTAACATATAAGGATGATCTAACAATTAATTTAAATCTGTCACTACACACTTAAATTTTTGATATAAATTAAGTCGAAATCTAGATGTTTGTGACTTTTCATTGCAATTTCAGAATATCTGTCTGGAATCTGGTTATTAGTATATGTGGTGTAAGTAGTTTTTCTGTTCTCTACAAACACCTGAGATTCTCCAAACGGTGCTATTTCCTGATATTTATGTGTCACAACGTGTATTGTGAACCTTAATATTATCCACTATTAATAGAATTTGATATACACTAGTTCATACAATTTAGTAATAGTTTTTAGATTCAGTGACAATGGGAATTATTATTGTACACTGATCATATATCACTGGTTTTTCACCTTAGCAATAATCATATGATCTGACCGAACATTAAATTCTGTTTTTGGGTAGAAATGCAGATACTATCTGTAGAATGCATTCATTAATTAACATGAATATTAAACAATTAAATCAGGCATAATAAGTTACACCCATTGGTTAGGTAGAAACGTATCACTAAGCATACTACTTATTTAAAGGTTGTTTCTTATTATAACGATTACTTGCTAGTATTACGTCGACAGATAAAACTCCACTGTTAAAGTTTCACGCATGCAACCATTTTATTACGTATAAAGAAGGATGAGATACCTTCAGTTATAATTGCTTGTTCATAAAATAAATGACTTGTGATTGTGAAATATCCTAAAACATACTTATATTCTTCAAAACTATTTACATAAGTTTATTTTAATGCTGAAGGCGAAAAAGATTTCAGTCTACATCTCACTTCTTTTACTAAAGTTGCTTAACATTATCCCACTTTTATTACTGTAGCGTAGTTAGTCTTAAATGCATGATGGTGGAATTTCGGTTAAATGAATAAAAATTTCACATTCAGGTCAATAAGAGTAGAATCAGTTAGTCCACATTCTCAACTTCATTTATATGTTCGAAAATGATCAACTTCGAGAACGATTCCGAAGGTCACGTTAGTCAAATTTCTGGTTATGTGTGAACTTAACCGACAAAACTCGGTCAAATATAAAAGGAATAGACAAACAATAGCACTTGTCACTACTGTATGGTAAATCAATTTTAAAGGAACTATTGTATAGGTTGTTAGTTTCTAATATTAAATTATTGATTTTATTCAAGAGCTGGTTTTACACATCAGGACATGTATGTACCTAATATGATAATGAAAATATGCTTTATTTTTTAAACGAAATTCAGAACGACCAGTAAATTACATTGATTATGTATTGATTTAGATACATAGTTGGCTACTCATAAATAACTTAGGACTTGATACTAAAGCATATTGGTCGAAATCAAAACACATAACATCATCACTGTGAGATTAGTAATTGACTTCATACGAATTGAAAACATTACTCTATCATGTCTAATTAGATTTTCCAAATGGTCATTTCTCACCATGTGATCATAAATAATGTCATTTAAGTAATATTAAGTTTGGAAAGGTAACTTATTTCTCTTTTACTCTAAAATTGTTATTGATCAATATATCTCTAAATTTTGGAATCTCTATTCGATACTTAAAATATAATTTTGACCAAATCCATAGGGACTATTTGCTTTCTATCTGTCTGTTAATGGTAAACAGTTGATGCCAAATATGTTTTATGTTAATAACAGCAATATTTTCGCAGATTATCTTAAAATATTATTATTGTTGTTATAATTTGGACACATAAGTATTGGTGCAACGAGGCACGGAATACATACAAGCCACACAAGTTACTTGATTTGTGTTGGGCTGTGATACTGCCCGGGTACCCAAACAAGTAGTTTTATTGGGGGGAACTCCCGAAGCCTTTGACCTAAAGATCTAATCCATAAGGCAGTGGGGCAACGTTAGGAGATGCAGTCCTATGGTAACTGGTGACCAACACTTAGTTCATACATCATTAGTTCTTTCAGAATACTGGAACCCATGTACATCATTCGTTTAGAATCAGGGTTTTCCAACTCTCCTAGGTGGACCCTCCATGGAATTTGCTTAATTCTGAAAATAATGATTCGAAAAAATGAGTATCTATATTGAATCATACTCTATATTTGGTATTTATGTTTCAACTGAAATATTGCTACATGTATATACTGAACCTGTCCATATACTCCACTGTATGATACTCTTATAGATCTACTGTACCTTTCATCTTTGGCCAAGTTAATCATTATGTTCTTATTTACAAGAGATCATTTATTCTATGAAATGTTCTTGAATAAACATGTGTATTTTAGTTGAAACTTATGCATAACACTATGTCACCTGAAATCATTGAAACAAAAAATGATAAAAAGAAAATAGTTATCTAAGTGTAAATTGGAAATACGATAGTAAAAGGGTATGTGATATTTCTATAGTGAATGGATATCATTATGCATAATATATGAGAAATGGGAAAGTACATTTTTCATATATTTAAGTATATTTACGGTAAAAATTAAGAAATTGGACAAAATTATTATGGTATTTGATTTACAATTCTATTTTGTTTCCTAGTAACTTCATATTTCATCTTAAATGTTTATGACCTCTGTTGTAAAAGTGTCATCTTTTTAAATAGTAGTTAGTTAGTAGTAGTAAGCTTATACACGAAATATTGTGGAGGTTTGACTGTATATTCTTTTTACAAATCATTTGGTTCATACTAAATAATGTGGTCAATATCAAACATTGTTAGTTTTCAAGAGATTATTTACTACTCCAATTACAAAACAACATAAAGTTATGAATTCACTAAAATATTTAATTCATTCATCACATATTTTGTTATTTAATACATGTAAAAAACTTTATCCTCATTCTAATATTCCGTGGAGACTTTTTTATTATTCGAATTAACGTTGATCATAACATGATATCGGCTGACTAACTACTAACATATCTGAAACTTGAACGAATTAACTGTCTGAAATTCTCAGAAGGGGTTTTGTGGAGATTTTAAAAATTTCACTGGTTGACATCATGAGTCAGTTGAAGCTAGACCACCATGGAAAACCTGGAAGCACTGGACGGCCGTTTCATCCTATTCTGTGAGACTCCTCAAGAGTGAGCATCGACGAACTCGCTCGCGTGATTCGAACTCAGTACCTCCGATCTCGCGCATGATCGCTTAACCTCTAGAACACTGAGCCGGAATCCAACTGTGTTAATACCCAACTTCAACTAATCCACGAAATTACTCCAACATCCTTCATTATCTTCAGTGAGATATTATTTCACAACAGAACTGGTTGAACTCCACTGGTTACGGCTTCTTATTAAAACTCCAGGAAATACCTCTCATGAACTCAACCATTAAATTACCACAATCTTCAAAAAATCCCTCATCTGATAATAAATTACTGTCTTTAAATATATCACAAAAATAGTGTAACGAATTTTCATTATATAATTATCTAATTTTAACAGGTGTGAAATTTTGCAATGATTTCACATAGTCACTAAATTACTCTATTAGATGTAACAATTTATGATCTATTCGGCGTTCTATTAATGATTAATAACATCAACCTTTATTCTTTGTTCAATATTCAAACAGACTACGTTATTTGGTCATAATTGTTTATTTATAAGATTATGAAAGCATTATTTATTACTTTGTATAAATCAACAAATTGATTTCTTGGAATTGTTCATTTTCCATCTTATTAGAGTTTACTCGAGTTGAAAACTTGGTTTTCTTTGTTTTACATTTCTAATACTTATAAATAATTAAATGTAACCATCCAAAATAACTGAAGATATTTTAAGTTGAATAATGTGTAACACGCAGAAAATGTTGAATTTTTATATTGTCAATGATTAAAAAAATATTATATCAGTTTGTTAACCGTTATATTTAGAACTTTGATTTTTAATATGCTGCGTACAACTTGAGCACTCGAATGCTAGAACCTTCACAAGTCGCAAATGGGAAGACAGAAGAGGGAACGCTATTCCAATACAGTGTCAATTATGATACAAACTGTCAGGTACTTATAGTTTTTAGTGAAAACG